AAAAAGAAATCTGGTAAATGGAGATTATTGCAAGATTTAAGAGCCATTAATAATGAGATTGTTATTATGGGACCTGCTCAATCAGGGATTCCTCAATTGTCTGCTTTGCCAAAAACCTGGTATGTTTTAGCTATAGATATTAAAGATTTTTTTTTTTCAATTTCAATTCATCCTGATGATAGTCCACATTTTGCATTTACTATCCCTGCACTGAATCATGAAGGTCTTGATCAGAGATATGAATGGAAACTACTCCCTCAAGGGATGGCTAACAGCCCAACTGTGTGTCAAATTTATGTTAACAAAGCAATCCAGCCACTTAGAAATCAAAATCCTGAAATACAAATATTTCACTACATGGATGATGTATTGTTAGCACACAAAGATAAAAACACATTGCTAGAATGTTATGCCACACTTACAAATTTATTAAAAAAATACAATCTAGAGATAGCAATAGATGAAGTACAATTACATTTTCTAATTATTTAGGAGTTCTATTATCCTCAACCATGGTCTGTCCACCAAAAATTCTGATACGAGTAGATCAACTCTAATCACTTAACGACTTTCAAAAGTTATTAGGAGACATAAATTGGATAAGGCCTTATCTAGGCATACCAACAGGAGAGTTGGGACCTTTATTTAATATCCTAAAATGTCCATCAGATCTAAATTCACCCTGCATGTTAATGCCTGAAGCAAGAAAGGCATTAAAAATTATTGAAACATATATGGAAAATATGCATTTGGATAGAATTGATATAAGTTTGCCTTTATTATTTATTGTAATACCAACAAAAAATATTCCTACAGGAGTATTTTGGCAAGAATGTCCATTATTGTGGATACATTTATCTTATTCTCCTAACACTATTCTTACTAGGTATCCTGAGACTGTAGGACAATTGATACTCAAAGGAATAAAAGCAGAAAAGGGAGTGTTTGGAATTTCTCCCAATAAAATTATTACTCCATATACTATGCATGAAATTGATGACTTAGCTAATGAGTTAAATACTTGGGCAATAATCATGTGTAAATCTAATGTTTCATTTGATAATCACTTACCATCTAATCCCTTGTTGTCTTTTTCGTCTTTGCATCCTGTAGTTTTTCCAAAAATGACCAGAAAAACACCTATCATGAATGCTCCAAATGTATTCACTGATGGGTGAAATAATGGTACAGCAGCAGTAGTTACCCCTGATCAAACTTTTACATTTTTAGTACCCGAACAATCAGCTCAAAAGGTAGAGCTTAGTGCAGTATTACATGCTTTTGTGATGTTTAAAGATTCTGCATTTAATTTATTTTCTGATAGTCAGTATATAGTTAATGCTATAGTATCCCTTGAAGATGCTGGTAGGATTTCTCCTTCCTCTACTGTTTTCTCTTTTTTTTCCACTATACAAAGTCTAATCTGGAACAGAAAAGATACATTCTTTATAGGACATATCAGAGCACATACAGGATTTCCTGGAGCTTTTAGTTTGGGCAACGATTTAGCAGATAAAACTACACATGACATACATATTTTCTCTACACTAGAAGAATCTACAAATTTTCATAAAAGATTCCATGTCAATGCTAATACTTTACAAAAGCATTTTAAAATAACTAAGAAACAAGCTAGACAAATAATAAAACAATGTCGAAATTGTGTGATGTTTTTACCACAAGTTAATCTTGGAGTCAATCCTAGAGGATTGATACCTAACCATATTTGGCAGATGGATGTCACACACTTTCCAGAATTTGGAAAATTAAAATATTTGCATGTTACAGTTGATACTTCTTCCGGATTTTTGATGGGCTCCCTTCATGCCAGAGAAAAAACTAAGGATATTATAGCTCATTGCTTACAAAATTTTGCCACTGTGGGTGTTCCAAAACAGTTAAAAACAGATAATGGTTCTTGCTATACCTCTACCTCTTTTAAACAATTTTGCTCGTCATTTGGCATTACTCATATAACAGAATTTCCATACAATCCACAGGGACAAGGCATATTTGAAAGAGCTCATCAAACTATTAAAATGTACTTATTAAAGCAAAAAGAGGGAATTGTAAAGGGGTATATATCCCCCAAATATAAACTTAACATAACCCTTTTTACTCTAAACTTTTTACATTTGGATTCATCAGGTCTTAGTGCTGCGGAAAGGCATATGTGTCCAAAAAATGTACATACGCCTAAGGTACTTTGGAAGGATATTCTAACAGGACAATGGAAAGGTCCTTACCCATTGATTGTCTGGAGTTGCGGTTCTGTTTGTGTGTTTCCATAGGGAGAACAGCAACCGATTTGGATTCCAGAGAGGTTAACTAAGGTCCTGACCCAGTGTTTGTCTGGAGTTGGGGTTCTGTTTGTGTGTCTCCACAGGAAGAACAACAGCCGATTTGGATTCCAGAGAGACTAACCAAAGTGATTTCTACAGACCAAAAAGAAGATGATTTGACTCAAATCCATAACAGCTGATATCCAGAGCTACAGCTTGGCTATTCTTACATCTGCGACAGTGATTAACCAGGATGCTTTTCTCAATATCTATTTTATTATTGCCTTTTTCCACATCATAAAGTTCTATTTTATTTTTTGAGCTCATACAGACCTAGGTTAATGTTTTTCTGATCAGTTTTATTTTTTGACTGTGGAGTTTTTAAACACTGCAATGGAGATTTTACCTGTGAAAAACTACAAGGCCTTTACTATTATGTTATGTGTTGTATATATTATGTTATGTGTGCACACTTGTGTTTGGTGTTGTATGTCTGTGTGTGTGTATGTCCATATATCATATATGAGGAGTGCTCATGAAAAAATGGATCTGAATTTTTTTTATTCACGTGATTTTAATGGTTTAATTTAAATTGTTTAAACATCTGTTGAGGATTATTTTAATATGTGGACAAAATATGAGGTTAACAGATCTGTTTGTTTACTTTCACCTTTCCCTTTCATTATATTTAATAATTCTGTTCAGGATAATTTAAATTGTTCAGAAAATTGTTTTCTTAGTACCTGTTGGAATGTTACATAATTTTTTTTTAGCATCATTGCCAGAATTCCTATCTTCATCCCAGAGCTGGTGAAGACAAAGATAAAACCAAACTACAGCTTCTTCGATAGTTATCACAAGAAACTGTATAAACTGATGCATCAATGAATAATAACTCAACAAGTGATGCTCAATCAAGGAGTCGATTTACCTTGGGAGGAAATGGACATATTGATAGATTCCTCTGCTTTGAACTTCTTTTAGAACTTGCCTGGACTATGTATCACTTGTATATATTGTGAACTATCTGTTGGTGCAGTGAATTGTGGTAATGCTGGAGTATCTTTGCTGATGGTGTCACCGGTGGTACAATTTTTCAAAGGAGCCGTCAATTGGCTTAGTGTCATGGCATTTCTGTATCCTCCTCCCTTCTGCTAGTGATGGTCTAAAATTAGGGGGCCAACAGAGGTGAAGCAAAGAACCTCACCCCCCCACTGGCACCAAGACCAAATTTGGGGGCCAACAGAGGTGAGGCAAAGGACCTCACCCCCCACCCCACTGGTGCAAAGGCCTATCCACAACTATGGCTGTATGCTGGACCAGTAGTCAGTGATGGGTATGATCCAATTGCAGTGGTACCAACCTACCAGGAGGCTGACGTCTAGAGGTCAGCTCATCCGATGATGGGTAAGGACCATATGTTGTACTGGACAACCTAACAGGCACGGTCCCTAAGCCACATTGCTTGTTGCTTAATTAAACAGAATGGGGTAGATGCTGAGAGCCACAGCTGAGTCGGAATGGCCCCTGGCATTTTGCCAATAGTATTGATTGACAGGCAAGGCATTACTATCCGCCTCGGGCTGCTACTTTGCAATTCTCATGCTACTTTGGAGTTCTCCTGGGGATTCCTGGGGATTCCCGGAGAGTTCCCATTGGTTGGAGATGTGCAGGAGGAGGGACTTCCGGAGGATATTTCTGGCTGCTGGTTCCTTAGAGGAGCCGCGTGGAATTCGGGAGAATTCCCCGGGAGTGTGTGTGAAGTGTTTTGGTGGAGTTCAAAAATACACTTTGTTCCTGCTTCAGTGGCTCATGGTTTGTGCCCAGCCAGACTGCGGCATCCCCTCTCCCCTGTCTGCAGCAGTATATGAGCTCCATCAACAACCAAGTGAGGGGGGATCTCCGGCCTGGTGTTAGGAGTCCTCTCTACACTGGTTGTGGTGGTGTACAAGCTTTCTGAGACCCCCAGATAAGAGTGGTCTCCCGCATAGAGGGGCAAGTCCTTTCTGCCCTGGCTAAGGTAGTATATAAGCTCCACCGGAAACCCAGGTTGGAGGGGTCTCCCACCTGGAAGGGCGAGTCCCCTTTATTTTGGCTTGTGCCCTTCAAAGCTCCCTGGACCCCCAGGTGGGAGGGGTCTACCGCCTGCTGGGGCGAAACCCTCTGCCCTGGCTATGGGGGCACACGAGCTCGTCCCTCAATACCCAGATGGGAGGGTCTCATGCCTGGAGGGGGATTCCCCTCCACTCTGGCTAAGGTGGTATACAAGCTCCTCCAAAACACAGGTGGGAGGGGTCTTCCTACTGGAGGTGCAAGTCCCCTCTCCCTTGGATTCAGAGGAATACAAGCTCCCTATGACATCCAGGTGGGATGGGTCTCCCACCTGGAGGGGCGAGTCTCCTCTACTTTGGCTGGTGCTTTATAAGAGTTTCCGGGACACCCAGGTGGGAGGGGTGGCCCGAGTGCAGGGGTGAGTGCCGCAGTCTGGCTGCAGCAAAATAACCGGGGGGTGAGGAGCAACTTGTGTAGATTGATACAGCAGGAGTGGGAGCCATTTATAGTAGGACAGGAGAGGTATATATACATTACACACAGCTTATCTTAATTAATATAAACTAGATACAGCAGTCAACCCATAAGGAATCTCCACACTTAATGGCTCATTGGCGTTACTTCACAAACCACTCCCTCTGGAAAAATGCCAGGCACCATCCTGACTTCTTTACAGACCCTAACATTTCCCCCTTTTGTTTAATTAAATAACAACCATAGTGGTTTTTACACAAACACCATAAATAATTTGCTACAAGCAGAAGGGGAGGATACAGCATGCCACAATACCAAGCCAATTGATGGCTCCATGCAAGAAGCCCTTGGAAAAATTATACCAGCAATGACACAGTTAGCAAAGATACCGAGTTACAATTTGTTGTAGATTACAGTTTGTTGTCTCAGTGCAGGTAAAGCAGTGTCTCAATAGATTAACTCACAGTCCAGGTAAATCATAGTCCAGGTAAGTTCTGCAGGCAGCTAGCTTAAATTACAGTCCAGGTAAGTTCTGCAGGCAGCTAGCTTGATCCGAAGTCTCCACTGGTTCTCAGCATCACTGGAAATTCTTCCACCCTCGTTTTCACCAGCACTGGGACGAAGGCAGGAACTCCGGCAATGCTGGCTAAAGAAAATCCTGTAGCATTCCACTAAGAAAACAACCTTCTGAACAATTTAGTACATTTGAAATAGGCCTTAGTGGCGCTCATTACTCATTAGCCTCCAGGTGTGGGAGAACCATTGTAGTTATTGACATTGGAAATGATCAAACTTCAGGGATGCAGGCCGTCTTCCATCTGCAGCCAACCCCGGCAGCCCCAGATGGCCCCCGGGGAGAGTCCGGGGAGTGTTCAGGACTCAAACTGCCACTGGGCACAGGGAGCAAGAGCCTGCGAGACTGTGCCTCCGGGTCAGGTTTGGATTTGGGCTCTCACAGTGGCATCCTGCTCCCCTGGCGCAGGGCGGGGAAGAGCCCGCTGCCCCCGCTTGGAAAGTCCTTGCTGTGCCTTGACCTGCTCGCGCATGTGGCAGCCGCTGCGCCGATTCACGGCACCCTCCTGTAAGGAAAAGTATTTAATAGTAGCCTTTTGCAATTCCTTTCTTGATAATCCTTCCTCCTCTGAACTTTTTTCTTCTTTCTGACTAGAGTTCCTGGGCTTCTATCAACACATGCCCTAACTATTCTTGGTTCCACTGGGGTGCCTCCTTCCCTTAGTAATTTACTTAACACCACTTCCATATTTTCATCACAAAGACAATACAACATTTCAAGACAAAATAAGACACAAACATACTGTATCAATCTTCTCCATTTTCTCAAAATGGCCATTTTTCCTCTCATCCTATCTGCCTAGGGAGGAGCAGATTTGCTCCCGTCCTATCTAGGGACAGGCAGCTTTTTTTTCATCACTTACCCCCGAGTGTCCTGGGGCTCCCAGTACAGGCCACCATCTGCCGCAGTCTGGCTGCAGCAAAATAACGGGGGGGGGGGTGACGAGCAACTTGTGTAGATTGATACAGCAGGAGTGGGAGCCGTTTATTGTAGGACAGGAGGGGTATATATCCATTACACACAGCTTATCTTAATTAACATAAACTAGATACAGCAGTCAACCAATAAGGAATCTCCACACTTAATGGCTCCCTGGCATTACTTCACAAACCACTCCCTCTGGCAAAATGCCAGGCGCCATCCTGACTTGTTTCCAGACCCTAACAGGTGAGTCTTGTCTACCCTGGCTGTGGTGGTGATATAAGAGCTGCCCACCCCATACCCAGATGAGAAAGGTCTCCCGACTGAAGGGGCGAGTCCCCTCTACCCTGGCTGCTATGGGATACCTGCTCCCCCAGACACCCATGTGAAAGTGTTCCCCTCCTGGAGGGGGCAGTCCCTGCTACCTGGCTGCAGTTGTATACAAGCCCCCCCACCCAGGTGGGAGGGGTCTCCTGCTTGGATGGGCGAGTCCCCTCTACCCTGGCTTAGGCGGAATACAAGCTCGCCCTGACATGGAGGTGGGAGGGGTCTCCAGCCTGGAGGGTTGAGTGGCTGCTACCCCAGCTGCAGCTGTATAGGAACCCCCCCTTGCAGACACCCATTTGGGAGCGGTCTTCTTCCTGGAGGGGCGAGTCCCCTCTACCCTGGCTGTGGCAGAAAATGAGATAACCCTGACACACAGGTGGGAAGGGTCTCCTGATTCGAGCAGTGAGTCCCCTCTACGCTGGCTACAAAGATATACAAACTCCCCCAGACACCCAGGTGGGAGGGGTCTCCCTATGGAGGGGCGAGTCCCCTCTACCCTGGCTGAGGCAGTATATGAGCTAGTCCTGACACCCTGGTGGGAGGGGTCTCCTGCAAGGAGGACAAGTACTTTTGATCCTGGCTGCGGTGGTATATGAGCTCCTGGCTGACAGCCAGGTTGGAGGGGTCTTCCGCCTGGATGGATGAGTCTCCTTTACCCTGGCTAAGGTGGTATACAAGTTCTCGTTGACACCCAGGTGGGACCGTTCTCCTGCCTGGTAGGGTGAGTCCCCACTACCCTGGCTGCAGTGGTATACAAGCTCTGCCCCCCCCCCCAGGTTGGAGAGTCTTACTCCTGTAGGGGCAAGTCGCCTCAACTCTGGCTGCAGGGGTACAAGAGCCCCCTCCTACCCCCAGGAAGGAGGGGGGGTCTCCTGCCTTGAGAGGCTAGTCGCTGCTACCCCAGCTTCAGCTATATATAAACCCCCCTTGCAGAACCCATGTGGGAGGGGTCTTCCACATGGAACAGCGAGTCCCCTCTACTCTGGCTGCAACGGTATACAAGCTCCCTCAGACACCCAGGTCGGAGGGGTCTCTCGCATGGAGGGGCGAGTCCCCTCTATCCTGGCTCTGGTGGTTTATGAGCTCCCCCTGACACCCTGGTGGGAGGGGTCTTCTGACTGGAGAGGCGAGTCCCCTCTATCCTGGCTGCATTGGTATAAGGCTACCCCTGACACCAACGTGTGAGTGGTCTCCCGCCTGGAGGGGTGAGTCCACTCTACCCTGGCTGTAGCGGTATACAATATACAAGGTACCCCCACTCACAGGTAGGAAGGGTCTCTCTCATGGATGGGCGAGTCCCCTCTACCCTGGCTGCCGTGGTATACGAGGCCCCCCCATACCCATATGGGAGGTGTCTCCCGCCTGAAGGGCTAGTACCCTTTTCCCCTGACTCCAGTAGTATACTAGCTTTCCTTGACACCCAGGTGGGAGGGGTCTCCTACCAGAAGTGTCGTGTCCCCTCTCTCCTGGCTGGGGCAGCATATGAGCTCCCCTCCACCATCTTGTAGGAGGGAACTTTTGTCTGGAGGGGTGAGTCCCCTCTACCTTGGCTGCTGCAGGATAGGCAATCCCTTGGACACCCAGGTGAAGGTGGTCTTCTGCCTGGGGTTTCGAGTCCCTGCTACCCTGCCTGCAGCTGTATAGGAGCCCTCTCCCCAGGACACCCAGGTGGGAGGGGTCTCCCACCTTTAGGGGCAAGTCCCTTCCACCTTGTCTGGAGCGTTATAAGAGCTCCCCCCCAACATCCAGGTGGGAGGGGTCTCCTGCCTGAAGGGGCGAGTCCCCTTTCCCTGGCTACAGAGGTATAGGAGCTCCCCCTGACACCCAGGTGGGAGGGGTCTTCCACCTGGAGGGGCAAGTCCGCTCTACCCTGGCTCTAGCGGTATAGGAGCTCCCCCCCCCAGGCACCCAGGTGGAAAGAGTATTCAGCATTGAGGGGCGAGTCCCCTTTACCCTGGCTGCTGTGTTATATAAGCTCCCCCACCCATACTCAGATGAGAGAGGTCTCCCGCCAGAAGGGACGAGTTTCCTCTACCCTAGGTTCAGTGGTATACTAGCTTTCCCTGACTTCCAGGTGAAAGTGGTCTCCCCCCCTGGAAAATCAAGTCCCCTCTACACTGGCTGTGGCAGTAAAGGAGCTCCCGTCAGGTGTGAGGGGTCCTGCACTTGGAGGGACGAGTCCCCTCTAGCTTGGATGCTGTGATATGAGACCTCGGGCAGACACCCAGGTGTGAGGGGCCTGGAGAGGTAAGTCCCCTCTACCCTGGATACAGAGGTATAGGAGCTCCCCCTGACACCCAGGTGGGAGGGTCTTCCACCTGGAGGGGCAGGTCCACTCTACCCTGGCTATAGCAGTAAAGGAGCTCCTGCCGGGCACTTAGGTGGGAGGAATATCCCTCAAGAGGGGTGAGTCCCCTTAACCCTGGCTGCTGCGGTTATATGAGTTCCCCCACCATACCAAGATGAGAGGGGTCTCCCGCCTGAAGGGCCGAGTCCCCTCTACCCTGGGTGTAGTGGTATACTAGCTTTCCCTGACACGCAGGTGGGAGGGGTCTCCTGCCTGGAGGAGCGAGTCTCCTCCTCTCTCCTGGCTGGGGCAGTATATGAGCACCTCCTGACACCCAGGTGGGAGGGGTCTTCCACTTAGAGTGGCGAGTCCCCTTTACCCTGCCTGTGGTGGTATATGAGCTCCCCTGACAATCAGATGTTAGCGGTCTCCCACCTAGTTGTGTGTGTCCCCTATATCCTGGCTGCAGCTGTATATGAGCTCCTCTCAATAGCCAAATTGGAGAGGTCTCCATCCTGGAGGAGCTAGTCCAGGAGATACCACCTAGAGTTGCGAGTCCCCTCTACCCCAGTTGCAGCGGTATAAGAGCTCCATCCTGGTTAATGCAGTATACAAGCTCCCTGGGACAAATAGGAGGGAGGGGTCTCCTGCCTGGAGGGGCGAGTCACCTCTACCTTGGCTGCAGCGGTATAAGAGCTCTCCCCCAATACCCAATGGGAGGGGTCTCTTGCCTGGTGGGGCAAGTCCACTCTAACCTGCCTGCAGTGCTATATGAGCTCCCCCACACACAACCAGTTGGGAGGGGTCTCCCGCCTAGAGGGGCGAGTCCCCTGTACCCTGGATTCGGTGGTGTATGAGCTACCCCCAGACACCCAAGTCAGAGGGGTCTCCTGCATGGAGGGGTGAGTCCTTTCTACCCTGGCTTGGGCGGTATACGATCCCCCCCACCCTACACCTAGGTGGGAGAGGTCTCCTGCTTGGAGGGGAGAATCCACTCTACCTGGCTGTGGTGGTAAAGAGCTCCCATGACACCCTGGTGGGAGGGGTGTCCCATCTGGAGGGGAGAGTCCCCTCTACCCTGGTTGCTGCTGTATATATGCTTTCCCAGACACCCAGATGGGAGAAGACTTTTGCCTGGAGGGGCAAGTCACCTCTACCCTGGCTAAGGCAGTATGCAAGCCCCAACCTACATTCAGGTGAGAGGGGTCTCCTGCTGGAGTAGAAAGTCCCTTCTACCCTGGTTGGTGCCCTATAAGTGCTCCAGGAACACCCAGGTTGGAGAGGTCTCCCACCTAAAGAGGCAAACCCCTCTACCCTGGCTGTGGCAGTATACGAGCTCCCCCAGACACCCAGGTGGGAGGGGTCTCCTGTGTAGAGGTGCGAGTCCCTTCTACCCTGGCTGCAGTGGTATAGGAGCTCCCCTGACACCCAGGTGGGAAGGGTTCAGCAAGCAAGGAGGGGCGAGTCCCCTCTACCCTGTGTACAGCTGTATAGGAGCTACCCCCCACCATACCCATGTGGGAGGGGTCTCCATTATGGAGGGTCCAGTGCCCTCTACCCTGGCTGCTGCAGTATATGAGCTCCACCTGACACTCTAGGGAGGGTGTCCCGCCTGGAGGGGCAAGAACTCTCTATCCTGGCTGCTGTGGTATATGACCTCGGCTGACACTCAGGTGGGAGGAGTCTTTTGCCTGAAGGGGTGAGTCCACTCTAGCCTGGCTAAGGTGTTATACATACTCCCCATGACACCCAGTTGAGAGGGGTCTCCTCCCTGGAGGGGAGAGTCCCCATTACCCTGGCTACAGTGGTATATGAGCTCCCCCACCCATACCCAGGTGGACGAGGTTTCCCACCTGGAGGGGTGAGTCCCTTCTACCCTGGCTGGGGCAGTATACTAGCTCCTCCTGACACCCAAGAGGGAGGGGTCTCCCGCCTGGAGTGGCAAGTTTCCCCTACCCTTCCTGTGGCGGTATAGGAGCTTCCCTGGACATTAAGATGGAAGGGGTCTCCCCCCTGGAGGGGCACGTCCACTGTACCCTGGCTATGGTGGTATAAGAGCTCCCTCTGACACTCAGGTGGGAGGCGTATCCTGCCTAGAGGGGCGAATCCCCTATACCCTGGCTGTGGCAGTATAAGAGCTCCCCTGGACACCCAGGTAGGAAGAGACTACCTCCTAGAGCAGCGAATCCCCTCTACCATAGCTGTTCAGGTATACAAGCTTCCCCAGACACCTAGGTGGGAAGGGTTTTCTGCCTGGAGGGGCGAGTCCCCTTTAATCTGACTGCAGCAGTATAGGGCCTCCCCTAACACCCAGGTGGGAGGGGTCTCCAGCCTGGCTGGGTGAGTCCCCTCTACCCTGGCTGTGGTGGTATATGAGCTCCCCTGGACACCCAGGTGGGAGGGGTTTTGGTCTGGAGAGGTGAGTCCCCTCTAAACTGGCTGCAGCGGTATACAAGATCCCACAGACACCCAGGTGGGAGGGGTTTCCTGCCTGGTGGTGCGAGTACTCTCTACCCTGGTTGGGGCGGTGTACTAGCTCCTCTGACACCCAGTTGGGAAGTGTCTTCTGCCTGGAGGTGTGAGTCTCCTCTACCCTGCCTGAGGAGGTATAGGAGTTCCCCCAGACACCCAGGAGGGAGGGGTCTCCCGCCTGGAGGGGCGAATCCCCTCTGCTCTGCATGTGGAGGTATATGAATTCCCTCAGACATTCACGTGAAAGGAGTCTCCCGCCTGGAGGGGACAGTCCCTATTACAGGGGCTGCAGCTGTATAGGAGCCCCCCCCACACACACACACTACAAACCCAGGTGGGAGGGGTCTCTTGCCTGAATGGCAAGTCCACTCTACATGGGCTGAGGCAGAATACAAGCTAGCCTGGATACCAAGGTGGGAGGGGTCTCTCACCTGGAGGAGCCAGTCTGCTCTACTCAGGCTGCAGAGGTATAAGAGCTCCACAGACAACCATGTCCCTTTTCATTCACCCAGGCCCAGGTCCTAGTACTTGGCTCTCCATTACTGGGCCTGACTCCTTGCTTGAGCCCCTGGCACCCTTCTCGAGGACCCTGTCCCTGTCCCTTGTTTTCAGGCCCCTTTTACCAGCCCTCTCCTGTGACTTCCCTCTGTTCCCCTTATGCTGAGGTATCCTGGCACTGCCCAGACCCTCTGCTCCCCCAGCTTCTTTCTAGACTGGGCTCCTCAATGGGTCCTGACTGCCCACTGACCCCACCCCAAACTCTGAAACCCAAACCACAGGTATCACCTCTCAGTGCCTGCTTTTGCCCCTCCTATGGTCCAGGTCCTTCTCTGAGGATCTACTCACCTGGGCAGAGGAGCAGAATTGGCTGGCCTCTGCACCCTGAATGCTCCCAGTGGGAAACACAGCCCTGCCACTCACCTGTGCCCCCTTTTGCTGAGAGCCATGCGTCATTCCAAGTAGTTGCTGTTTGAACCTACAAGGCTTTGTGGTGGCTTGGTTATTCGTGCCCAGCCAGACAGCGGCACTCTTTGCCACCTGAACCTTGATGCCTGGCAGTTAACATGTGACTTGCTCCAACCCAGCCCTGAGAGATCCCCTCCCTTCTCTCCAGTGCCCTCTTGCCTTGCATGCTGCCCCTACCCCAACCCAGCCTTCACTAACCTTGCTCCGTTGCATTCCACTCCCAGGGCCTGGCTGCTCACCTGTGCCCCTGACCACTTTCCTCATGTCCTTTAGCATAGCATGGAGTCTCTGTATTGGGTCTGACCTGGGGGCCTCCTGCTTTTGCCTACCAGTGGGCTTCCCTAGGTGCCCCTTGCACTCTTCTCTGTCTTCTGGTCCTCTTACAACCCCTTCCTTGCATTCCCCTTGAGAATTATCCTGGTGCTTGTGGGTCTCCTTCTCTTTGTGTCTTCCATGCATCTCTTTGGGTCTCTCATCCATGATCGGTTGGGTGGGTCCCTTTCCTGGGCTGCTGGCTTGGGTCCTGGGTCTTGCCCCTGTGAGCACCCACCATGACCCCCCACCTTCTCTCCCATCACCCTCCTCCTGTCCCCCTTTCCTTTTCAGGCCTCCTTTGCCAGGTCCCTGGCCCTGGATTCTAATCTAGGCTAGGGCACCTAATGGAAAACAGAGCCCTGCCCCTCAGCTGGGCCCCTTGCTCTTTCTGGGTTGTTGGTCCTGCACCCAGAATCCTGACACCTGACAGTGGCCCTGGGCCTGTACCTGCCTGACCCTGTTGGATCCCCTGCCTTCCCACCCAAGTCTTGCCACTGTCCTGAGCCCTCTGCCCCAGCCCCAGGCCTTGGCTCTCCATTCCCTGTCCTGGCTCTTTTCTTGAGCCTCTGATGCCCCTTGTTGCCCAGAGTGTGCCTGGGTGTTGACTGTGGGCCTCTTGCTTGGGCTGCTTCCCTGCTCCCCTTGGTGTTCCTGCACTGCAGTCCACTAGTGCCACCCGTCTGGCCAGTCCTGTCCTTCCCTGTTCTCCCCTGGTGTGGGCCCTCCTCTAGGTCCTAACCGGGGCTCCTTGCTGGGGTACAGGTCCTACCCAGCACCCATCCTCTGGCCCTTCTGCTGTGCCCTTCTATGGACCTCTTTTCGTTCCTGTCCCTGCAAAGCCCCCTTTCCTGATCCCTTTCCCGGGATTCACACCCACGCCAGGGGAGTCGACCTGGCCTATTGGCCCTCCTGGCTCCCTAAGGGAAAAAGTAGCCCTGCTCCTTGCCTGGGCCCTTTGGCCTCCTTCAGCCGGGGTCCTGCTCCCCAACCCTGACACCTATCTGTAGAGCTGGGCCTTCAGCCTTCATCTCTATGGGCCACCAGCTCCCCTCTCTCCTCTCCCTACCCTCCCCAGCCCTGCTCTGGTCCAGGTGACTCCCTGAGGATCTACATACCTGGGGTACAGGAGTGGAATTGGCTGGCCTCTGTGCACTGAAAGTTCCTATGGGAAACAGAGCCCAGCCCCTTGCCTGAGCCCCTTTGGCTGCCCGAAACTTGATATCTGGCAATGGACTTAGGCCTTGTGCAGACTTTGCTCTGCTTGATCCCCTCCCTTCCCACCTCTGCCCTCTTGACTCGCATGCTGCCCCTAACCCAACCCAGCCTCCCAGAACCCTGACCCTTTGTGCTCCAGTCTTCAGACCTGGCTCCTCGCCTAGGCCCCTGACTGCATTCGTTCTTCGTGTGGAGTAGTGTCACATGGCTTCACATGGTATCTCTTCATGTGGGGTGGGAAGGGGGGTCCCTTTCTTTTGCCCCCTATCTCACTCCCCTCAGTACCTTTGCATTGCCCACCTGCCCACTGTCTCCTCATTCTTGTGTCACCTCTTCCTCCCCTTCCCTGCTTGCCACTTGTGCAGTTCCCTATTTGTTGGGTCTCTCATCATCTTGGGTCAGGTCTGTCCCTTGCCTGGACTCCTTGCTTGGTTCCTGGCTCTCGCACCTCTCCACACCACTGGGACCTCGTGTGAAGCCCTCCCCTCGCCTTCCTTCTGGCCCCCTTTCCCTTGCCAGCCACCTTTGCCCAGTTCCTGGCTTTGTTTCCTATAAGCCAATGCAGCTTATAGGAAACAGAGCCCTGCCCCTGGCCTGGGCCCTTTGCTCTCCCTGGGCCCTTGGTCCTGCCCCCGGAGCACTGAAAGCTGGCAGTGGCCCTGGGCTTGGAGCCTGCTTCCTCCATGCGGGATCCCCTGCCTTTCTCCCCACCCTTGTCCACTTACCTGAGGCCCTGCTCCAGCCCTTGGCTCTTCATTCTCTGGCCTGGCTCCTCACTTGATCCTCTTGTGGCCCTTCTTGCTCAGGGTTTCCCTCAGGCCCCTCTCTAGGGCTGCTTCCCTGCTCCTCTTGGATTCCCTGTACTGCAGTACCCTAGTGCAGCCCCACCTTACCAGCCCCGCCCTTCCCTGCTCTCCCCATAACTGAGCCCTCCTCTAGGTCCCTAACCTGGGCTCCTTGTTTGTATTATGGCCCATATTCCACCTTTGGGCTGTGCCCTCCTTTGGCCCTCCTGTAGTCCCTGTCAATGCTGGGCCCCTTTTTCTTATCTCTTTCCCAGGATACTCACCCAGGCCAGGAGACTGGACCAGGCCTTTTGGCCCTGCAGACTCCATTTTGTTAAACATAGCCCTTCCCCTTGCATAGGCCATTTGACCTCCCTCAGCCCAGGCCCTGTTCCCGGATGCTGACAACTGCAGTGGGCCTGGGCCTTGAACTTCCCTCCTTTGTGCCACCAGCTCCCTCCCTTGCCTTCCTCCCCTCACCAGCCCTGTCTGTTTTCATGCACCTCTTCCCCCAGAACTTGCCCTTGGCTCTCTGTTCCTGGGCCTGGCTCCTTGCTTGAGCCCCTGGCCATCCTTCTTGAGGACCTTGCTCATGTACCTTGATTTCAGGCCCCTTATTCGGGGGCCTGTTATGACTTCCCTCTGTTTTCCTTGTGCTGTGTCATCCTGGGAATGCCTGGACTCTTCCTTTCACTGCTTCTGCCTAGACTGGGTTACTTGATTGGGTCTTGCTCCCTACCAACTCCCCCACCATATCAGGACGAAAGGCATTTCCTCGCAGTCCCCTCCTTTGGCCCTCCTTTGCTTCTGGTCCCTCTCTGAGGATCTACTCACCCAGGGCAGACTACTGGCCTCTCTGTCCTGATATCTCCCTATAGAAACACAGCCTTGTCCCTCCCCTGATCCCCCTTGCTGCGGAAACCTGACACCTGGCAGTGGAAGTGTGCTTTGCACCAGACATGCCCTGCACCATTCCCTCCCTTCCCTCACCTGCCCTCTGGCCTTCAATGCTGCTACAACCCTAACCCAGCCTCACTGACCCTGAACCTTCAACTGAGCCCCTGATCACATGCCCTAGCTGTGTGGCATCATGTGGCTTCACCTGGTGTCATTCTATTTTGGGCTCCCTAGGGTGCTTCTCTTGGTTTTCCCTGTGCTTCCAGCTGACTACTCCTTCTTGTGTTGCCACTTTCTTCCCATCCCCTTGTGTTTTACCTGGGCACACCTGGGAGCCTCCTGCTCTTTGGGTCCCTCATTTTTGGTCAGTCGGGTGAGGCACTTGCCTGGGCTCCTTACTTGGGTCCAGGCTCTGGGCCCTCTCTACATCCACCTTGATCCTGCACCATGCCCTCCCATTGACCTCTTCCAGGGCCCCGTCCCTTGCCAAGCCCCCTTTGCCTGTTCAATGGCCCTGGATTCTCATCTGGGCCAGGGCACCTTATGGGAACAGAGCCCTGCCCCTCACCTGGGCTCCTTGTTCTCCTTTGGTGCTTGGTCCTAAACATGGAAATTGGACACCTGGCAGTGACCCTGGGCCTCCAGCCTGCCTGTCGCCTCTCAGATCCCCTGCCTTCCCTCCCCGGCCCTGTATACTGTCCTCAGTCCCCTGCCCCAGCCTTGGTCCTTGGCTCTCAATTCCCTGTCCTGGATCCTCCCTGGAGCCTCTGGTCCCTCTTCTTGCTCCCAGCTTCTCTGGGCTTTGACTTTGCACCCCTTGCTTGGGCTGATTTTCTGCTTCCCTTCCTTGCAGAACCCTAGTGCTGCCTGCCTGCCCATTCCTGTCTTTCCCTGCTGTTCCCTGCCATGAGACCACATCTAGGTCCCTAGCCTGGTCTCCTTGCTGGGGTCCTGGCCCCCAACCCAACAACACACATGGTCTGGCCTATTCTGCTGTGCCCTTCTTTGGACCTCGCTCATGTTGTCCCTATTTCTGCCCTGCCCCTTTTCCTGATCCCTTTACTAGGATGCACACCAGGGCCTGGGACTTGACCTGGCCCTTTGGCTCTTTGAGCTCCCTTTGGGAAAATGTAGCCCTGCCCCTTGCCTGGGCCCTTTGGCCTCCATCAGCTCAGGCCCTACTCCCCAACCCTGACACCAAGCAGTGGACCTGGTCTTTGAGCCCTCCTCTCCCTGCGCCACCAGCACCCATTTCTATTCTCCCTCCACTCCCCAGCCCTCTCCATTTTCATGAGACACCTGCCTAGGTCCTGCCACTTGGCTCTCCATTCCTTGGCCTTGTATCTCGCTTGAACCCCTGACCGCCCTTCTCAAGGATCCTGTCCCTGTCCCATTTTTTCAGGCCCATTTTTCCAGCCCCCTCCTTGGCCTTCCTCTGTTCCCCTTGTACTGTGGTATCCTGGCACTGCCCGGACCCTCTCCTCTCCCTGTTTCACCCTAGTCTGGGATACTCGAAGGGGTCCTGGCTCCCCACTGCCCCCACCCCCAATTCCAGATGCAAGGTAAACCCTTACAGTGCCCTGCTTTGGCCCTCCTTTGGTCTTGGTCTTTCTATGAGTTTACTCACCTGGGGCAGAGGAGTGGAATTGATTGGCCTCTGGGCCCAGAAGGCTCCCTATGGGAAACCCAGCCCTGCCCCTTGCCTGAGTCCCCTTCACCTTCCAAACCTTGAAACCTGGCAGCGGACTTGGGCCTTCTGACCTTGTCCTGCATGATCATCTCCCGTCCCTCCCCTACCATCTAGCCTTACATGATGCCCCTACCCCAACCCAGCCCTCCCTAACCCTTATGTTTTGCATTCTAGTTTCCAGACCTGGCTGTTTGCCTAAGCCCCAGACCACATTCCTCATGTTGCATGGCATCCCAAGGTGGCACTTCGCCTTAGGGATTACCTGGGATCCCTTGCTTGGGCCCCTTAGTACACTCCACCGGGTGCACTTTGCTCTGCCCTCTGTTTCCACATCCTAGTGCCAACCCTTCCTCTTCTTCCACTCTCATTTTCCTCTAGAGTGCTGGCCTCCTGTTTCTTGGGTTTCTAATGCTCTGTTGGTGGGATTGGTCTCTTGCCTGTTATCCTGGCTTGGGTCCTGGCTCTTGCCTCTCTCCGCACCCACCACAACCCTCTGCCCTGCCATCCCGTCATCCTCCTCATAGCCCCAATCCCTTGCCAGGCCCTTGTCTGGGCAAGGCAACTCATGAGAAAGAGAGCCCTGTTCCTAGCCTGCACCCTTGGTCCTACTCTTGGAAACCTGAGTCCTGGAAATGGCCCTGGACCTGGAGCCTGCCTCCCCACTGCCATATCCCCTGCCTTCCCCCCTCTGCCATGTCCACTGTCCTGATCCCTGGCCACAGCCCTGGCCCTTGTCTCTCCATTCCCTGGCCTGTCTCCTCACTTGAGCCTCTGGCAGCTCTTCTTGCTCTCTGCTTCCCTGAGCTTGTACTGGGGGCCCCTCCTTTGGGCTGCTTCCCTGCTTTTCTTGGCTTCCCTGCATGGCAGAACACTAGCACTGCCTGCTTGCCCAGCCCCACCCTTCCCTGATCTTTCAGGATGCAGCCCTCCTCTAGGTCCCTAGCCTGGTATCTCTGCTGGGGTCCTGGCCCCCACCCACTCAAAAGACATCCTGCAGCACTTCCTGCTGTGCCCTCCTGGGACCTCCTGTTGTCACTCTCCCTGAGGTGGCCCTTTTCATGATCCCTTTACCAGGATGCTCACCAGGGCCAGGGTACTGGACCTGGCCTTTGGCCCTGCAGGCTCTCTTTTGGAAAATGTAGTCCTTCCCCTTTTTCTGGACCCTTTGGCCTCCCTCAGCCTGGGCCCAGCTCCCAAACCCTGACACCCATCAATGGACCTGAGCCTTGAGCCCTCCTCTTCCTGCACCAGCTGTGCCCCTTTCTTCCCTCCCTCCCCTCCCTAGATGTATCTGTTTTCATGGGACCCCTGCCCAGGCCAATGCACTTGAATCTCCATTCCTGGGCTGGGCTGTTGCTTGAGGCCACCCTTCTCTAGGACCCTGTCCCTTTTCCTTGATTCCAAACACCTTTTTTGAGCCCCCTCCTGTGCTTCCCTTCTGTTCTCCTTCTATTGAATTGTCACCCCCTTCCTCTACAGAAAAGTCTTAACTGGGCTTCTCCAGAATTTTTTACCATGGCTGTTTTTAGGACTGTCAGAAAAAGAATCTCTGCAAAAAAGCTCACTGTTGATTAACTTTCTATTTTCCTATTGCCCTGTTTTACTTGGCCACCAGCCAAGTAGATAACAACACTCCAGGTGCTGGGCACCC